CCTTCCGTCTACTTGGATCCAAAATGCTTCTCGTTTTGAGCTGTCCCCCCATTCAAATGAAATCGCCGCCAATCATATTTCCAGGCTCGCGCCAGGGCCGGGGCAGGGGTTACAAGGCTCACGTCTTGTGCTGCATTCACTTGCACTCGGACATTAGAGATTTTCTCTCATAAATGTCCGATGAGCCACAATTTTTCTTTCAAAACAAAGCTGCCAACTGGGGTGGCAGCTGGGGTGGCAAGGCATTTTTCTGAGGTGGCAGCTGCCACCCCGTGCCACCCCGTAGAACCGCCACTGGTCCTATATGTGTTTCTTATTGTCTGATTACTGGCTCAAAAGTGTCACCTTTATAAAAATGTTTATTTGTTTATCTGGTTATTGTTAGTATTATTATTATTATTATTATGAATGACTGTATCTTATAAATTCCCATTTGTTCTAAGCAGGGAGGTTTCTTAATGGATGCGTAACTTGAAGGTATTAAATCGATAAATATAAATTAAAAAGTGTGTGTCCCTCCAGGTTGTTGGAATCGCTGAACACCAGTCATGTCAGAGTTGAGTGGGAAGGTCCAGACCGTCCTGGGCCTGGTGGATCCGGACCAGCTGGGCCGCACAATGACCCACGAGCACCTGACCATGACCTTTGCGTGCTGCTACTTCCCCCCTCCTCAAGGCGACGAGGCAGTGGCTGAGAACCCGTTCCAGATGCAGCACATGCACTGGCTGAGGCAGAACCCCTACAGCAGCCACGAGAACCTGCTGCTGCAGCAGGAAGTCCCCGCCGTGAGGGACGAGCTGCTGGCCTTCAGGAAGGCCGGCGGGGGAACTATCGTAGAGAACACGACCACAGGCATCGACCGGGACCTGCCCACCCTCAAGCAGCTCTCAAAGGACACAGGGGTCCACGTAATAGCAGGAGCAGGGTACTACGTGGACTGCACCCACACTGAGGCCACCAAGAGAATGAGTGTGGAGAAGGTGAGGCACAGTCTGGTTATGGTATAGTAATGTTTTGAAGGAACTTGATAAATGATTTGCTCTTCTCAAGTTTCATTGCTGCTTATCTGCCAATTGCACAATTTCCATTTGATTTCTCCGTGATCTGTCATTCAATCTGTCGAAAAACGTCTATATTGTGGAAACTTAAAGAGATAAATATTCCCCAAAGGCATAATTTGTTTATCAGTTACTCACCCAGTTCTAAATGCACTCAGTGTTCACAACACACTTCAAACAGATACTAGTATCAGCCTAAATACATGTGTTAAGAAGTGCACAGACGACTGGATAAATAGGGCTTTTAATTATACTGCACTCGTTGCTAATTTGTTTCTAAAGGGATGTTTTGATATATGTTTGCTGTTTAAACACTGCCCCGATTTACTGTACATCAATGTATAATGAATTTCAGATTTTGGATTCTTTCTTCACAGAGAAGGCATGCAAGAAAAAACAAAATCTTTAAGAATGCAAGGTAACAGGGAGCGATTAATTGGTATAAGAATGGTCTTTTGCGGAGAGAAGTATTCCTTTTATCAGCGTTTTTTTTTTTTTTTACATGTGTGTCCTAAATTTGCCACTGGTGCTGAATGCCTCAGTCATAAGACAGGAAGGACATCCTGCAACAATTTGTAGTGCTGACTATTTGAAATGTCCCCTATTCTCTCAGCACATTCTGTTATGTTCTTTTCCATCTCTGTATTGATTTAAACAGGTTTTAGGAGTTATGCACTAAGAATCGGGATTACATAACATCACATGTCACTTGTTAGACGCTTTTATCCAAAGCAACCCACTGAGCCACAGCCTCCCTGCAATCTTCATAGATGTTTAAATACTATCATTTAAACATGCTCTTTCCATGTGCGTTTACCCCTGTTAAAGGGACAGAATCAAGGAGCCAGAAAAGAGTCATTTTAATGCACTAATACGTCAGTAAACAGTTTTTATTTCCTCCCGGTCAGCTCACAGACATCATCGTCAGCGAAGTGCTTCACGGCGCCGACGGTACTGACATCCGCTGCGGAGTGATCGGAGAGATCGGCACCGGCTGGCCCATCACTGAGAGTGAGACGAAGGTGCTGAGGGCCACGGCTCATGCTCAGACACAGCTGGGCTGCCCCGTCATCATCCATCCCGGCAGGAACCCCGCGGCTCCGGCTGAAGTCCTGCGGATTCTTCAGGAGGCCGGTGGTGACATCAGTAAAACTGTCATGTCACACCTGGACAGGTGAGAGGTCCATAGAAAACAGTTGGGGATTGTTGACAGTGTATTCAGTCTTTAAGATATAAACATTATTGAATTTAAAATCGCAATTAGAATTTTCACTCAGTATTTCCTGTCCTACATAACTTTTGTTCCCAATACTAAACAAAATGCCGATTATTACATTTGAACATTTCCTAGGAAAACAGTTCCTGTTAACCGTCATAATACGATCCAGCCGATTTCCTGATGGCATACATTGTGAAATTCAGTAAAGAAGCAGCTACAGGCTGCATATTTAAAGTGCTAACATCCAGTGCACATTCAGCTACTTTTGACCTCTACACTCATATCTAACTTTACTCTCCGTCACTGAAAAGCTTTGGACTTGGACACAGGATAAACGTTTGCTTTTAAATGTAGCATCTATCACTTTTGCTCTTCCTGCAGGACTATATTTGATGATGGTGAACTGCTTGAGTTTGCGAAGCTGGGGTGTTACCTGGAGTACGATCTGTTTGGAATAGAGATGCTGGACTACCCCTACAACCTGGAGGTGGACATGCCCAGTGACAGCCAGAGAGTGAAGGCGTGAGTAACACAGAGCAGGGCTAAACTTTCAGACTTACATCGTGATGGTATTGTGACGAGAAGTGCCAAACGGGAACAAGTGTGGTCACATTGATAGGGTCATGTTACATTTATTCTTATTGATGTAACATTCTCTTGCACTACATGTATTTGATATGTTTCATGTCCTATATATATTAATGTTCCACTGTTGAAGGAGCCTGTGACCTAAGTCTTTCATTTCCATATCTACACAATAAAGTTGACTTTAATCTATGTATCTATTCTATATCGCTACATTAGTGTATATCACTTAGAAAAAAAATTATATTCTAATCCATGAGGAGAGGAGACAGGGTCCTATAGTTTTAGAGACACTAATCTCCCACTACTGTGACGTCGTGCGTCAACAGGAGTGATGAATGATTCGCCACATGTTAGCCCACACAAACAATAATGTGTTAGGTTTAAGGTCCCTCATTTTGTTTCTTTCTCCACCCTCAGCTTGGCGTTACTCGTGAAGGAGGGCTACGGCGACAAGGTACTGGTTGCACACGACATCCACACCAAGAACCGTCTCACAAAGTACGGCGGCCACGGCTACTCTCACATCCTAAAGAATATTGTGCCGAAGATGCTGATGAGGGGGATCTCGCAGCACCAGGTGGACAAGATCCTCATCGACAACCCCAAACACTGGCTGACCTTCAAATAAGCAAGAAAAGGGAGAAAACCAGAGAGCAATTTGATTAAGCATTTTTCTTTATCTTCACGCTAATAAATCTCACAATGAAGTCTAGAATGAAGACAATGAGATGTTTGCAATAACCACAGTCCAAACTCTAAAACCAATGAGCTTGTGTTGTTTGTGGATTAATTTGTCACCAGTGTCAACACTTATTGTCTAGCATTGTCTTTCGAATGGAAAACATTAACAGGCTGTTGTTTCATCCAGCGGAGAGGCTTTTTTTATATAGAGGCCCTCATTCATTAAAACTTGATTTTATATTTGTGATCATACATTATTCACTTTTCTCGAAATAAAGCTTTAGAGGATCACAGTGCCTCATTAGCACTGTTTTAGTCCCATTTATGTCACCACAAATCAAATTGTCTTGCGAATGCAATCTAAAACAAATATTTTTGAATTATCTAAAGTTGTGCTCTCAAAAGAGGTGATTGATTTTTGTTCAATGTCAATGTTGTAGCAAAATGCAAAGATGTTTTTGGAGAATAAATAATGAGCGTGGCAGTAATCAGTATGCCGCTCTGCTCTCGATGCGGCTGCGTTAGATGAGTTGTCCTGTTGCCCCTCAGTGGGTGTCTGGGTGTCAATGGGAGGCTGACTGGATGAAGGACATGTTCTCCTCTCATCTGGGAACAGGTGGCCTCACAGGGTGACTTCGCCACATGATCAATGGCATGATCGCCACAAGTGACTGTGCGCCGTGAAAAAACATCTAACTTTGATTAATCTTCGGAGAGGATTACAAAATGAGACAGAAGGTTTATTTTTGACATGATTTTGTACACATTAGTTGACAGTCTTATATGAAGGGGTTCACAATCGGCAGGCGGATCGATGAACATCAAGGAAACATTTCCGTCAATGTGAGTGTTCAGTTTTTGTGATGGTGACTAAGCACCAGACCATCCTGTTACCAGCTGTCATATTGAGACGAGTTAAAATGGTGATTTTGTCACAGTGCTTCAATTTGAACCACAGGATGGCCCTTTACAGAAGGGTTTCTATGCTGCACAGAGTTCAAATGTCAACGTCTATAATCATGCATTACTACGGCTTTTAAAATCTTCACTCAAAATGCAACAACCAACAATTATTTTTGAAAAATAAAGCACACATGGACTTATAACAGTGTAAACAGAGTGGTGATTATGTGAGTATCTATAATTGGAAGGCCAATACATTGAACTTTCAGTCTACATTCACTCATATGTTACCACGGCAGCATGTACAGTATTTTTTACAAATCAGCGAACTAACAGTTCATTCAGGGTGCAATAGTGACACAAACAATCTCACAAGTGTACAATTCAACCCTGTATAATTTAAAATAAGTTATTCTGTAATTAAACAGTGAGCTCTTAGCTGTTTAAAAGTACAGTTCTTTATTTTATTTTCAAATGACGTCCTCCATATCCTTCTGGACTTTTTTGCAGGATGTAAATGGTGAGCTCTGCCTCTAATAATCCAGCTGACAGTGATTTGAGCATGAGCAGTGAAGTAAGCTATATGCAGAGCAGATCTGTCCAGTGTTTCAGTCAGCGTACAACATAAAGCCGGAAAAAGTGCTGTACTTGTTGTTGTTGCCCCCGTGCGCCTTTCCACCGTCCAGCTTGATGTAAATCTCGTCCCCGGGCTCAAGGTGCAGGACAACACTGTTGCTGGCGTAGTCGTAGTTCTGGTCGGCGTCCTGGGCGATGGCACTGGCTCTCACCTGAAAGGGAAACATTTCTGCTGATGAAACATGTCTTTATTTTAACATCAGAGCCGAGGACAGCTCCATCAGTGACGACATTTCAAATGTGGAACAACTTTACTGAAAGCATGTTTAAATATCCGGAAAATGTGTTCTCTTTCAACCGTGCGTAAAACCTGTGCGTAAAATCGAGAAACTACAGATTGGTTAATCAAATAATGTCTTTTCACCGTGTATTCAAAACACAGACTAAATAGTAAAGCTATAACAAATTGTAATATTGGTATTTTATTAAACCATAAAGTGTCTTACCTGGTTGTTTTTGCAGAGGTCAGCCCACATGCTGGTTCCATCTCCTCCTCGCATCAGCACATGGTAAACAAAAAAGTAAATCCCCGGTATTGAGCAGGTGAATTTCCCTGAAGAGGGGTCATAGTGGTTGCCCAGATTTGTGACTACGTCGTCAAATTTCAACACTTCATATCCCTCGTGCTGCTTCTTCAGTCCTGCATAAAACGCAATCTTTGGGATTGTGTTGTAAGTAGCAGCACTGATGGCTCCGTTAGGCCCGTTTAATCCAGGTGCTCCGGGTGGACCCGGTACCCCTCTAGTTCCGGGCGGACCAGCAGCTCCAGGGGGCCCGGGCTCGCCAACAGGACCCCTCTGACCCATCCTCCCGACGCGCCCCGGCTCTCCTTGAGGACCTTGGATGAAAGTCGGAAGCGACTGAGCGAGTCGGTTCTCTTTGATGGTGTTGGTTGTCTTGGCTGTGGCCGTGGCCGCGGTCCCGTGGGGGTCGCACACCATTTGACAGGACCCCAGCATCTCGTAGCGGGCAGGTGTCCCGGCGGCGTTCACCACCACCGGGATCAGAACCACCAACACCAGCACCAGCGCGACTCCACAAACACCAGTTGCGATCATCTGCACTCTGCGGATTCGCTGTGTTCTCCGGAGCTGATGGTCTTCCAGCCTGCTTGTTGACGATATTTTGCAGAGAGAATAATTTCACCTGCTCTCGTTTTATACCGCAACTGTTGGAGATAAAATAGTCCTTTAAATGTGTGTGCACAAAAGTAACCATCCACAACTTTTACGCGCTGCAAAAACTCTCTAACCGATTCATATCAACTCTCCTCCTGTGAGAAAAACAACAACCAAGACTAACAGGAAAAATCACACAATCTGCGTTTAATTAGAAAGCCCAAAGTCAGCCGCTCAAGTTTCTGCCCTCCACGGTGCCACAGGAGAGAATAGGCTAGAAATAAACCGTTACTGCTTCTGTGTTTGGAGAGTGAGGGGAGGGGTGGAGGTGATGGATGGGATATAATCCATGCATTTCTTCAATCAAAAGAGAGGAAGGGAAACATATAAAAACACTGATGCAACTTTGAAGCTATGAAACGTGACTGCTTTATTTTATGCATTTGTTTGTTGAGTCAGGAGTTAACCTTATCATTAAACAGGGTTTTAACACCACTTTTATATTGATTGATGTAACGTTACATCCCACCACGTGTTATTAAAACTCAAACTAAAAGGTCTTCAGCATAATTAGGCCCATTAAAGACAAAAAAAGCTATACTCCTTTGGCACCTGGTCACACCTCAATGGCTCCCTGTGTCCAATTGATCACTTGGAGAAAATCTATAGAGCCACTGAAGGAAAGGAGGGAGTCACTAGAAGCTGGCAGTGAAGGATGAATTCACCAAATATATTCTGATGAAATGACTGAATGCTGAGGTGTTTAGAAGATGAATAGGGCGAGAGCACTTAATCAAGTAAAGATGGGAATTCAGAAGTTAAACATTAAATTGTTAGTTGTATTATGAGTCTAAATAAGTCATGTTTTAGTTAAATGTTAAACAGACTTTTTAATTATTTAGGAATGACCAAACCTTAATACCGTTTTTTAATATTCAAAACAAAATGTCCTGTCAAAAGAAAGTGTTTGTTTCTTTAGGTTTGAGTTATGAAGGGCTAATTCTCGTGGAATAGGGCAGATGCTGATGTGATCATGAATTCAGAGGCTGTCACCCCAAGTCGATGGCTCCTCGTGCCATGTGGAGAGATGGATGAACAGGAGGGGAAAACACGGATAACCTTGTTTGTTTGGGAGGAGCGAGGCTTTGATTGCAGCCCGAATGAGATTCTATGTGAGTCACAAATGCAATGGTTGAATCATGATCTCAAAAAGTGGCATACAGAAATGTTTAGTTAAAATGGATGTTCATTTAAAAAAGTTTTGTTTTTGTCACAGAATTATTTATTTTTTTAAATCATTAAATGTATTTGATTGAGAGACAATGAAGCTAAATATTTAATTATGTACCAGATCTGTATCTCTGGTTTCTCAAGATATGCATGAATACATATGACCCATCGTTTTTGGGTACTTTTGATAATATTTGTCCTTATCGAGATTGTGAGCCATGAGTTGGTGGAGACCAAAACAAAGCTAAAAGGATAATAAACGTTGGACTTACATTTATTTGGTGGCAAAATTACCGTAAAAAAACATTGTAAAATTACAATTAAAAACGAATTTGATCCCATTTCAAAAACTTTCATTTGTGTCTGAAACCAGAAAAACACATCCTTGAATACACTCGCAGCAAGTATGTTTGTCAATCAATCTGCCACTTTGGTCCAAAGTGAAATATCTCAACTACTCACAAATTCAGAAGACATTTTATCTTGGAACTAACATCTTATCATATTTATAATTTGTCCAATACTTAATGTTTAGTACTAATGAGACAATATTAGCATAATTACATGATAAGCCAAGAGGATGATTATGGTAAACATTGTGTCTGCTGAACATCAGCATGTTACCTTTGTCATTGTGAGCGTGTTAACATCATGGGCATTGGTTAGCATTCTGAGTTGGTGCAGTTCATGATAAATGAGAACAAAAAACTGGAAATAACTAGGATGTCAGATATGAATACAAAAAGAAGCAATCTTCTAAAAATTTTGAATTCAAAAAATGTATTTGAATTGTAACCAATATTTGCTTTGTTTGTTAATATATATTTTTCCTGTCTATATTTCCGCTTTTCCTTTTGTTTTGTTTAAGTCATTCATCTTTGGTACAGCTGACAATGGTCTGGGAGGGCACTGCTGTTGATTTAAAATATATTATAATTTTCAAAAGAGCACACGTTTTCTGTGGGATGGGTGTAAAGTGAGAAATAGAATAGTATATAAAGAATAGTAGACACACATGCACACTCACACAAACAAAGTGGGACATACTGTGGCAGCTATGAGTCAGTGAGCACTTGTTAGTGGTCAGGCTCTCTCCCTCCAGTTGGCACGGGCCTCCAGTGACTCAGGGAGACTTGTCGACCGGGAGCCAAAGTGAACAGCAGTGTCAAAATCCAGCAAAAGCTGTGGGAAGAAGACGAAACTTGTGTTAGCTGTTCACAGTATCGCAACAAATGAATCACAGTGCACATTTTTCATATCTGTTATTAAAAAAAACGTATCCAAAGTTGACTTTCATCACTCTTTTCCGGCACAAGTCCTGAGTAACTCACCGTGTTAAAGGATTCCTCCGGTGGTGAAGGGCTGACAGGTTGTTTTGAGTCTCGACTTCATTTACAACCAGTCAGGCAGGAGTCCTGGGGGAGCCTGATGATTTTTTGACATCCGGACAAGCAGATGTTCAGAGGACATGAATAAAACATACAGCCCATCTGACCAGAGACCGAAGACTTTCAGAGTGTCTAATGAAATCTTTCTGATAAGTGTGATGCTGAATGAAATATGTATGATATTTATGTAGCCTGGCCTGGGTGGCTAAGTAGGGTTCAATTGTTTATCGCAATCAAAGCTGAGACAGGTTTGTCAGAGGAGGTTTGTGATGAATGGGAAGGGAAAGTGAATGGACCTCTCATTACCCGCCAGGAATACAAACAGAAATATGATGTGACCATTGACACCTAAGTGTTTAACAACGGCTAAAACAGCATGTGTGCCGTGCAGCGGATAAGATGCATGTCCTTCAGTACTTTTCACACCTTCTGCTCTTTCAGAAATGAGTGTTCCTTTTTTCTTTTCCAACAGAATGAATAAGCGGAGCTCAACAGTTCAGCTCAGCAGGGGGGAAACAGAATGTGTTACCGCACCACCCACTCAAAGCCGGTCCTGTACTGTATTTAAGATGGAGAGGCAATCAAAAATAATCCAGGGCGGGACTTGAGTTTCATACTTGAGAGCAGGGATTTTCATTCAAAACCAAAGTCTTTGTGTTGTTTCATTTTATTATGCGTCTCCAGTCTACAGCCAAAAAATACCTTTAAAACCATTATTTTGATTTGTATTAATTTCCTTGTTTCAGTGTGCTGCCGGTATTTAAAAGTGTGCGTTCATGTACTCTCGGTGGATTCATGAGAGAATACACGTTAGGTCTTAAAATATTTTACAGTGAGATCTTTCCACCGGAGGGAAAACTAAGCCAAATAAAATCTTAAAAGGTTTTTAAAAACTTTAAGCATTTCAGGTCACTCAGGTTTATCCTTTCCCGTTGTGTGTAATATAAGTTTGTGTGCATGTAAATGGTCTGCAAATGCTAAAATCCCAAAGTTCTGCACAGAGGTAGTTTCTCTCCCACAAATTCCCCCCGCCTGAAACGCCTGGATTGTAGTCCTTTGTTTACATCTGCAACATAGTGACATCACTATGTAACACTCGTGTTTCTATTTGCTATCGATCCAACACATTGTACCTGATAGGTTAAGCGTCTGGACCCCTCTAAGCGGTTAACTTATCATAACATAGCCGGCCAGATAACCAATCAGAGCAGACTGGGCTCTGGTTTCAGTTGCAGTAGGTGCTGCAGCACAGGCAGTATACGAGAAAGATTAAGATCTTTTTAAACAATAAAGCATGTAAACATGACACAGTAGAGGCACAAAAACAAATGTGAATCTGAAAATGAGCATAAATATGTCCTCTTTAAAACAAATGAATAATCTGACAACACTTGTTTTCCATGCATGTTTCAGATATTACCTTTGCAATTTCCACACTGTAACATACAAATATCATATAAAACACTACAGTAAAACAAATATCCAATAGATTATTTTGTACACTGCTTTTAGAAAGCAATCTGAGGACTGGCTTATAAACCATGACATACTTAAAAGGGTCAATTTGATCTGTCATATTGCAAAGTATAGAAAAACTTCAAACAGTCTTTTTTATGACTTTATATTTGTGAGAAACATAAAATGAAATAAGAAAATACTGTGGCTGTTTGGTGGTGTGTGTAACTGTCTCGCAGGAAATGCTCACCCCCTGCAATCCAGGGCGGGTTTTATTTGCTCACAATAAAACGTTATGTATTGCAACCTGGAGAACAGGATTACAGCAAAGGATTATAACAAAACCAAATCCCCTGTGCAACTAAAAAAAACAAGTAGATTGATTTTCATCGAGATGTCAATCGATGAGTCGTTTCGTTCATGGTGTCAGCAGGCGTAGTGTCACATTTTCTGCCGATGAGATTGAGCGGCAGTAAGGGGCTTAGTGGCAAATACAATCGAGGAGTGTAAACATACAGAGGGCCGCAAGAGGCAGATCAATGGCTCCAGTCTGGGATTGATTAATTACCCCAAGAAAGAGACTGAGGTGTGAGGGCACTGGAGAAACCTGATCAGAACAAGATTTATCACCCAATCTCTGCATCATCTCTCCCTCTTTGCTCCTTTTTACTTTTTCTTTTAAAGCTGCCCTTCTCCATTGACGTGAGTTTTTCATTTGAGATTGTGAATGGCTTTTAAAAAGAATGGTAAGTCTTCATGTTGTAAGGATATGGCTTCAAATTATGATCCTCTGAGTAATTCACTTGTATCAATTGAGCTTTATAACCCAGAGTTTCAGAAATTAGGCCAAAAAATAACTACAAATTCATTTCTAATGTTGCAGTGCCATGAGGGAGTTCCTTAGCTTTAAGGTAATTACTGTTTAAAAGGTTAAGAATGAACTTTGACACTTCATTTTAGATTAAATCTTCACAGGCTACTCTGGGGGATATTAAGATAAGAAGAGGAACGCCACTCTAGCATGTTAAATATAATTCTACAGCCCAAAGCTTAGCACAGGGGTGTCCAAACTACGGCACGGGGCCAACTGCGGCCCCCGGTCCATTTTTAATTGGCTCGCAGCTAAATCTAAAAGTATAATTGAATATGACCCACACATGAAACTTGTGCTTTTCTTATATTGTACTTCTTAAATATAAATGTAAAGATAAGCCCACTTTTCAAATACATTCATAAAATTAAAGTTGAAAACATTTTCAAACAAGTCTTAGTTGTTTAAAAAAAAGCCCAATAACTTATTTACATAACAAGCTTGAACTATACCATTCCTATTGCCCCTTATTATAGCAATCTGAGTTCTGTTTTAAGGAATGAGCTGCCAAATAATAAATTAAACCCTATGGAAAGCTGTGATGTTTTTCTTTCTTAATGCATATTCAAGTATCAAGCAAAATGTAACTACATTTGATTGATTTTCTAATACAGTATAACTTAAGAGGCAATATACCTCACCTCTAGTGAGCGGCCCAGCCCTTCGTATATTTTTCTGTATGTGGCCCTCAGTGAAAAAAGTTTGGACACCCATGACTTAGCACAAAGCCCGGAAACAGGTGAAAAGCGCTAGGATGCCTCGGTATAAAGGTAACGGAATCAACATTTTAGCAACTCTTATGCAAAGAAGAATAATAATAATAATAATAATAATAGCAATAATAATAGCCAGAAAGTGACAATTCACAACGGAGTGCGTAAATAAAAACTAAATGGCTGTCTTTTTTAAATCCCGAGACGTATTGCTGATCTCATACATCAGATTTTCTTTCAGAACAACAACGATCAATCACATGAGGCAGGAAGCTAACAATATTTCCCCCCCTCAGATCACACAACCACTAACTGCCAATCATTGTGTTAAACATAATGACTGCAACGTCAACCTGAAGTAGTGACTACACTTCGTACCTTCAGAGAGCATGCAGCTGTTGATTGGAGGTGCTCATGGTTCCTCTGACTCCCTTACATTTCCCAGAATGCATCAGATCCACTGTTGGCATAATACTAACATGCAGGACAAACCCAGAAACAGATTTACACTTAGTCTTTCTTCAATTTCTTGGTAATCTTCATTGTTTGCTAAATCTGTGAGATTTTCTTTACAAAACAATGTGGAAATCAAAGATATCTTACCTGAAACTGCTCGGAAAAAGTCCTCCCGATATGATTAAACTCTTAATAAGAAAATCTAATCATGGTCAGAAACACAAATCCTCTAGCTTGCAGATTAAAAACAATCACGTTTTAGCCGGAAATGTGTTTGAAGTAAAAAAATAAATAAAACTCTAACCTGAAATTATAAGTTTTTGGCTGTTGAGAATTGCCATTTTTAAAATGTGATTGCTTTTTTTCACGAGCCAGAAATTATTCTTGAATCTTATTGGTAAATTAAAATTGATCCGTTTGAAGAAAAATAACGAAAAGTTTAGATATTGAAATTTTTTCCTGTGAGTCTTTTGTGACATGTTCTGTGGCATCACCCTTCATTTCCATATGAAATTCCAGCCAAAGGTATGACTTAAACCAGCTCAAAGACTCCTATGGTCGTCACTGTCCGCCCATACAGAAAGATTAACAATATAATTGTCAACTAGCCAACGCTGTACAGGTCAGTCATATGAATATCATCATATAAGACTGCACATAGTGAATAAAGAGTGGTCATTCTTATAGCGCTGCTGCCTGATGCATGACTGTCCCTCTGCCACCCCTACATCCTCCCCCGAACTAATGATGACCTTTGATTCCCAAAAGATGTCAGGAAATGGGAGAAAAAAAACGCAAAGGCACCCAATTAATTTAGGGTGAAGAGGACTGGAACGTGTGAGCGCGTCATGCTGCTGGAGTGAACGGTGAGGAGCTCCAGGAAGGACAAGGCTCGGTATAATTAAGATTCAGGAGGGCCATTGTCAAAGATAATTAAAGCTGACAGCCACTGTGGAGTAGAGAGGAAGAGAGCAGGAAACATCTTCAAACTACATGCTTCACTTTAACACAATTTCTACATTTCAATCTCACACACCCTCACACATAACCTGCACTGACATCCATCATTCCAACTACTTCGGAAACTGCATACTAGGCAATCAAATAGAAGACAGATTAATAGAGACAATAAAGGCAGCTGTTGGAAACGTGCGGCAGCATTTTGAGACTCAAATCAACAACATTATCAAAGGTGACAATTTCAGTGCAGATGTGTATCTCAGAGATGTGTGTGTGAGGAGCAACTTCACTCTTTATTGTTTAAGTGGAATATGTCGATATTACTCGGCCAATTATGACTTCAGCCATTCCTAATGAGAAGGAATCCATAAATTGGATGAGAATGCAATTATCTAGTATAACAATGTCTCGCTCGCTAAAACATGTATCTATTTTTATGTATGTGAATACCAGAATGTGAGTGTGTATGCAGTATAATAACTTTTCCTTCAATTTCATTTCATTTTTTCTGTCAGATGCTTTAAAGCTGGACTCAACGATTCGGTAAGATTTATCAAATTCAGAGAATAACCCCTCATGGTCCGTCAACACACAACACTATAAAAACTATAAGCGCAATGTCACTGTAGGTGGGACTAAATGGGTTTAAGGCATATTATTGGTGGTCCAAGGTCAAAAGAGAAAGTACCTATTAGTGATGTTTTAAACTCTTAACACATGGGACAGCTCTTTCCAAAAACAACAAGACGTAATAACAGCTGTTACATTTATTAAAACTACAAAATCACCTCTGAATCATGAAATAGCAATTTATTTTGCGTATTCTCCCTGTCAAGTACGTGCTGCAGGAATGTAAGATTATAGCCAGTTGTTCACATGAATGGTTTAAAAAGGCATTCACCTTTTCCTCCATCTGTACCTATTTATTTTTAGCTTATTATTCACATTGACAGACTATAACTGAAATGCACAAATACACAGACCTTCAGTTCATAAATCCTTCAAAGTTGAATCCATATTTTTCATACCAAACTTTACACACGTTCTGAATTAATTCATTTCCAGTTTTTTCCCAAAACACAAAACAGTGGCTTGTTTACTGTGTGTGAAATACCGGATGAGATATCTGTGGAGGCTGAAGTGTGTCATCACAGAGACCACAAGAGCCGACGTAGGAAAGGCACTTAATAGTGACAGATATATTCTGATTGGCTGAGTTCTTTTTGTTTTGTTGGGTGGGTTTCGTCTCTAGTAAAAAGAGAAATGGACGTGGCCATTTAAGAATACTGCTCTGTGAATTTCTGGTGAAACTCCTTGACTTTGTTGAGCAGGATCTTCAGCTTGTCTGTCGATGGCAAGATGGTCATTCTAGGAAGGGATAGGAAAGGAAAGACAACATTAACATTTAAATGGATTTTCCAGAAACGCTTGAGAATCATCTTAGAAAAGTAATATTATGTCTCTTGTGTAAAGAATACTTTTAAAAAACGATAAGCCTCCTTTACCATAAAGCCCTTTTTAGACATGGAAAATGTAACATTGATGGCATCAATCTGTTTAAGTGATGCCTTTGTGATATTCAGACATTGTTTTGTGATTTTCGCCAATGTTTCATTCAAATATGACATTTACAGAAAGATGACACATTTAAACCATTCAGTTGTGTTTTAAATCTCTCCTGACCTCTACATAAAAGTAACTCTCGGGTCCTCATTCAAACACAAGACCAACAAATTCAATTCACATTAATTTACCAACAAAGGAACAATTATAGATGCTTTGGGCGAGGCTTTTTTTGTGTCAAAGAAAAGACGAGCTGAAATGACTATTTGATTAATCAATTGTCAGCAACCCTCAATTTGTGCTCGAGGGAACTGTTTATCACTTTTTTCTAACTGTTTTCAAGACCCAACAACACAAACATATTCTGCAGGTCAATTTGGATATAAATGTATTTTGCCGCACTTTAAGAGAAATATTCATATTAAAACAGATGTATAAATGCTTGAGTGTTCTTTACCTGAAATGGTACGTTCCATCCCTCTGCCCGAAGCCGCTTCCCGGCACGAGGCAGATTCCCGTCTCCTCCAGCAGCTTCATGCAGTAAAACATGTCTGCCTGCTGACCTTTGTCCTGACAGAGAGAAAATATAAACATGTGAAACCTCTGACACAGTATAACTTTCATCCTTAAAGTTTTGCACATACCTTTTTTACATTATTCCCATTGAGGAGCCTCATTTAAACTTATTTTTTTCCGCTACATTTTTTATTAATTCATAACTTAACATGAAAGATTTCCAATTTGTACAAAAAAAATCAATTTAAAGCAGAATTGGACCAAATGAAAGCATAAATTGCTCTATTGAGTATCTCTTTAGAATCAGAACAGAACAGAATGTTCTGAACTTCTAACATAAAATGAGGAATCTGACTGAATGCTCATACTGCGCTTAATCTTTGTTTGATTCTACAGCTTATGGCAACAGAACCATTCATGTGTAACTCAGGTACGGAGCACAGGTGCCCTTGAGAGCTAAATCAATGATTTCTTTGGCAGCACAAAAGCATTCTGAAGGTTGAAACAAATAGAGATGTGTACTAATTTATGTTACAATTAGGCTTTTGTAAAAACCTTTTAAAAACCTTAAGTGTTGCAGCCTTACAACTTTAAGAGGGTTGGGATCAAGAACAAGCTTAATGGACAGAAGCTCTGTTTGAACTGCACACGGTAATGTTGCTAACAGGATGGTACTTTCTGAAGTGCGGTTGTATGAGGTTCTTATTCATGGTCAGTAGATGACGGTAAGCACACCCCTAGTTTGGAGAAATGGACAGGAGAACTAGCATTGAAGCAAAGCATTGTGGGACTTGGAGGTAGCAGCAAAACATGATTACTCATCACCTAAAACATTGGCAATATCAGTTTAAGTGTACACAATATTTGGAATATTTTGACTTCTTTACCATCAGACAAGAAACAAAAGGAAAAAGCTGGCTCCTGTTAGACCTGTAATATCTCTGATGTGCAATAACACTGCCTGTAAACAACATGCTATGCAATACACACTCATGTGCAATACACCAGCTTTGTTTGTCTTCTAAATGGTCACCTACAAATACACTGCTACTTAGCTTTTTGTTACCATGGTGTATTTATCTGTTATTTGTTTTTACTTTTAATAATGTGTGCCAACTTTTATTATATAAGTAAGTTTATTCTTTTTATTTTAATCTGTGCTGTAGTTTAGCTGTTGTAATGCCGTAAAGGTCACTGTTGCGGGACAAATAAAGGAATTCTAATTCTGAAGTTGAACGATGATCAAAAATTCTAAATATACCAAACATTTAAACTAATTGTTTCAACTGATGTTTTGCTGCTGTCCTCATCCACAGCAGTACAGTGGCTAGCTTCTATGCCAGTACTCCTCTCTGTTTTGTCTTAGTCTACTGTTGGTAACACACTGACTATGGATTAGTACCTCATACAACCCTATTTAAAAATAGCCAATATATCCCTATAAGAGCTGTCTTTATGCCTTGTCTTGGGGAAAAACCGGCACCAAAAAAGCAATGCTACAATTGATGAGCTGTACCCTGACCTTATCCTCTGTAAGGCTAATCAGATTCCCAGTGGCTCATCAGCCCTCCCTGAAATTCCTACTGAGCAGTAGGACAGAATTGAAAGCACAAGCTATTGGAAATCATTTCTTCCCTTTAACAGGGGGGTTGATGCTCTGTTTACTGAACCTGGTTAAAGCATCGTGTACGACAGGGCTATTCAATTAGTTTGGAATGGGGCCGGTTGATGAAAATTGACTCCAAAGGCAAGGGCCCGGGAAAAAATGGCTTGAAAATATGAGCAATCATATTAAGAGCCTTCAAGATACCAGTAAATACTACAACCAGCGGAGTGGAGTGCATATTGTGGTTGAATTAAATCCCCCAAACAACATAAGCCCAAGGGCTTTAATAGATCTAAATTGGCCAGTTCAGAACCTCAATAGGCCTTACATTGTGACAGGCTAATCCTAACCCATCAACATCATTTCAATTTGAATTTCATTAGTAATGATTCTAATCCATTCCCCACCGCAGAAAGGATGCAGATCAATGACAGGAGGTCTGTCACTTACAGTAGCTAGTAGGGTTCGAAACCCGAGCCCCGCCAAAAAGTTTTCCAGGCATGTCTTTCCCCTCTAGTCTCTCAATTAACACCCCTCTCTGGAATGGGACGCTGCCCAAGTTGAATAGCCTGGTGGTAACGAGATTGTAGGTATTGTGTAGTGTTGCGAGGTCCAGATGGAGAGGAAATAATGGAATGGAACTAATGAATGAGAAGTACCAAGACAAGGTGGCCAGTGTGTGTTACACCTATGAAACAAACTGCCATTTGCTCCCTTGTCAATGTCATTTCCTTGAAGGCAGTGATTCCCAGTTAAATCCAGTTTCAATTGGAAGCCCGTTTAATAAAAAGGAGCTTAAGGACCTGAACCCGGGCTCCCTTGGATGGCCCTTTTCAAGGGGATGGAGGATGCCGAGGGGGAAGGAGTACTACCGCTGGCCCAAGGGTTGCAGCCTGGAATCCTTCACGTTGGTTGAGAACCTGCTCTGTAGCTGGCCTTCCGCTAAGACCACTTAGGGGTCGCGCTGCGCACTGCATTGAGGGAGAGAGGGGAAGAAGGATGGTTAAGGAAAAGAGAGATGGTATCTCATTTAGCAAATGGCGCAAGGGGAAATGACTATTATAAATAGATTTCTCTTGTAGCAAGTTTCCTTATGTTGTTAACAAAGTATGGAATAAATGTTTAAGATCAAGAAATGGTTGTGTTAGTGTTTAAAAAATAAAGCAATTCTAAAAAGGGAGTGGTTTTGGCAGTGTAAAACAAGAAAGGATGAATGGTAAATGGCTTACGGCCCACGAATAATCAAAACTTCCTTTTACACTCCAGAATATAGGTCACACCTACACAAATGTCCACTTAGTTTTTTGGCCGCGCCCACAATATAATTGGGACCTGGAAATAATTGATTACTGATATGCACTGTTATTACAAAGTGGCAGGGTTTCAATACACTGTTTTCACCAATGAAATTTCAATGACTTCCTCCCATGAACCTCTACCCTGTATATTTTCCATGACCAAAAAAAAATACTCTTTCTCAGCGGGTACCCCACTGAAAAATGGCTTTATTTTAACATAGAGACACGGAAAAACTAAGGCTGCCATATGGAAAAACCCATGTTTGTGCCCTATCTAAAACATATTAGCTTCTCAGTAAAAGGAACTCAAATCTCTCACCGGTCAAATACCTCGCCAGTTTTGAATGCCATTTATTTTTCCATTAACTATATGATACAGTGTAATAATCATGTATAAGTATTATATTTGGCCGATTTTAGATAAAATAAAAATTACATATTTGTGCACTTAGTTAACATTCATGACTTTTCCAAAACTTTGGGGAAAAATATGTTTTCCAAACTTTCCCAGGGGCCTGGGATTTACACAAATTTAGAATTTTCCCATGACTTTTCAGGTTTTTTAATGAAAGGAAACCACTTGAAAAGTAGATTCAGACAGTAACCACGTACTGGTAAAGTCCTAAGTTCAAAAGTTTGGTGTATAACCCCACTCAACTAAAGCTAAATATCCATTGTTTCTTAAAAAATTCGTGTTAATGGTGGTGAAAGAAAATGTGAAACAAGCCAATTTAGGAAGCAGGGGTTCAAAGTTGGGGGGGGGGGGGGGGGGGGGGTCGGCCGGAGACCCCGAGAGTGGGGGGTCCCGGCGAGATGGAGTACCAAAATAAAAAGGAAAATAAAAAAATATTAAAAAATGATTAATCTTTTTTTATTTTTTATATTATGTTAGGATAAAACGTGTTTTTCCATAAAAAAAATTTTCTTTGACAATCCACTATGGGCAGTGTTTCCCCTTTCAAATACTTTTTCCCTGTTTCGAAATTAAATTTCACTAGACGTTCCCACCGCTTTATCTTGGCAACAGTTATTTTTGGGGGTCGCGGGCTGAAGTTTGGAACCCCTCGAATTGAGGATAACAAAAACATGAAATCCCACCGGGTAATCTATAACAATAGCAGTGAACCTGTGGCCCTGCAAGGACAATGTAATGACAATACGGGTCATGGCTATTGATAATGTTCCTCCGGAAGAGAGTATGTCCAAATTGAGACGTAGATCCGCGGTACCTTGTTTTAAAACTGTCATACAGGGCTGGGCTTCCCCGATCTGCGGGGGGTTGACCCCGAGGTTCATCAGAGCTGTCCAGGACAGGGGAGGACACAGACGAGACACCCAGCTCTGTGAGCTGAAGCCCCTCCACCTCCTCGTCCCCAGGTTGGATGATCTCCCATGTAGCCTCACGGAAGCCGCCCACTAGGAGGAAAAACATAAAGGGTGTGAATACAGGAAATGAGGAGTAAAGCTCCAAACACTGAAGGCAACTTCTTATGAGTCTTCGTTAAAATGCAAACTGGAAAGAATGGCCAGAAGAACTGAAATACAGCCATTTTTTTTAAAAATACCAGGNTTAGTAGACTCGACTACTGCAATAGTGTATTCACAGGGCTGACAAAAAAAGTGATGACACGTGCAGCAGCGTTCTGAATCAGCTGCAACTTTCTGATGGATTTTTTTGTCAGCCCTGTGAATACACTATTGCAGTAGTCGAGTCTACTAAAGATAAAAGCATGGACAAGCTTTTCTAAGTCCTGTTGTGACATTAGTTTTTTAATCCTCGATATGTTCTTCAGGCTGTACTCAGCATTGAAACAAAATGCACCATAGCTTTAAATCTTAATAAGTTTGTGAGGCGTTTTGCTGAGCAAGATGGTAATCGCCCCATTCAGCTGTTATAGGCATGCCAACTTGATGCTCTGCTCATGGATGACTCGATGAGTATAACTAACTGTTAAGATGATGACCTTACGTGTGTGAATATATTTTTTTCTTTGTGGGGGTCTGCTCCCAAAAAACAGTTTTAAGTCCAGAGAAAGTCAAATAAGA